GGGGGGGGGGCGGCACTTTTATGTAATAGCCGATTGACTCCCCTTTATAAAAGTACTAAAAAGCCCCGCTGAAGCCGGGGTTTCTGGTTAAACGTGTCTTTTTGTTTTTTGTTTTTTTTAACATTTGCAAGCAGCCATGACTTGTGAAATAGGGATGTTACTTATTAGAGATGTGCTGTAAGGATAAAACATTCAATTCTGTGCGTGGATACCATGGTGAAGTGGGCTATATAAGTAGATAAGATGGATAATAGACTCCCTTGCAACTATTTACAAGTAAGCAAATATATCACTTCAGTGAAAGAATCTTTTGCTTTCAGATAACAGCAGTACCATTGTTGTTTTTTCTCTTTCTTGTAATCTCAGAACAGATTTCCAATTAACTGTCTTAAAAATGAAAACTTGTTCATTTTCTTTAAAAAGTTTAAAATATTCTCCATTTAAACTTTATCTCTAAAGATTTCCCTGATTTTTAATTTCTCTAGTCACTACTTCTATTATTGCATACTTTCCAGAAATGACTTTTAAAATAGGTTTTTAAAGGTTCATTTTGAATATTCTACTCGTTCATTTCATACCACTTTACTTTAATCTGCCAAAAATATACTTCACAGAATTTTGTGAAAAACTCTTCTGATTTTCTAATAGGACTGAGATGCTCACTATTTTTATCTGTAATTAATTTTACTGCTGGCTTTCAAGTTAAAATACTCTCAACTATATAGTGGAAACTGTCAATTTACTGGCTGCAGTAACAACACTGAAGAAAGATTCATAGAAGTCACTTTAGTTGGGACCTTCTAAACTCTTTACTTTTAGTAAAAAGGGTCCTATAAAAGATAACAGAAATTAAAATATTATGCAATTACTTGGGCACACAGAATCATATCTCTAATCCTACAATTACATTTAATATTATATTCAAATTCAGAACAGCAGTAGAAAAGTATTTTAGAAATGTTATGTACTATAATAATAAAAATACTTAAACATAAGCCTTGATATAAATTTTCAACAAAATGATGGGCATGTAACACTAGGCACTTAGTGGCACTTCTCTTATACCATGCAGGATTTGTTTCAGCTAGCTAGGATCCATCTGCAATCAGTCTCAAAGTTAAGAAATAAAAATATTTAGTTCTCCTTTGCAAAGCGGATAGTGTATTATGCCCAATACTTTTAACCATAAACTGTGACAATAAAAGACCAATAGCAATTCCTACATATTGTTAGTATATACATAGCTTATCAACAGCAAAACTGAGATACAAACACACATGGTGCAATGCAGTGGTGGACTGGTCACAATCAAGTTATAGATTTGTGATGAACAGGGGAAATGTTAGAGAGTGATTTTTTAGTGTGTTCAAAAACACAGAAACATCTGCTGATAATATAAGACCGGGACTATATTCTCATGCTACATTTTGAGACAAAAATGCATATTTTTATTCTATAATCTTGTACTGAATATCACATGTGAGATAAAAACCAAGGGTCAAGCTGTACATCTTTGAACACCTAAAATCAATAGGAGGTTTCACTGTGCGAAGAATGAAGAATCAATTTCTTAGTGTATATGAAGTTAGAAATTATCAAGCCTAAAAAAATGGTAAAGAGGTTCTTAATGTATGAAATGTCACTGCTTACTGTAGAGCATACTAATCAATATAACCAGAAACTAGAACTGTTCTTGAAAAAAACTACTGTGTAAGCAGCCTTTTTTCAGATGGTTTATGCTGACTGCATTATTCTTTCTCTGCACAAATATAACTCAAATACAGCATTCAGCTTATTATGACAAAGAGAATAAGAAAAAATTAAACAAAAATGTTTAAAATGTTGCTTACTAATAAAGAACATGAGGATGATAAACTATGAAGTACTGTTTAATATTCTGGATGTTATTAGGAAGTTTAAAAATATGTACAAATGGGTATACTCGTGTTTTTTTCTGTTCTATAAGGTAACCTGGTTAAAAAAAAAATTATCACCTACTACCTAATATCTAACTTAAACTTCCCTTGCTGTGACTTGGGGCCATTGCTCCTTGTTCTGTCATCTGCCACCACTGAGAACAGTCTAGCTCCATCCTCTTTTGAACCCCTCTTCAGGTAGTTGAAGCCTGCTATTAAATCCCTTCCATCTTCTCTTATCTAGACTAAATAAGCCCAGTTCCCTCAGTCTCTCCTCATAAGTCATTTGCCCCAGCTCCCAAACCATTTTTGTTGCCGTCTGCTGAACACTCTCCAATTTATCCACATTCTTTCTGTAGTGGGGGGCCCAAAACTAGACACAATACTCCAGATGTGGCCTCACCAGTGCTGAATAGAGGGGAATAATCACTTCCCTTGACCTACTGGCAACACACCTACCAATGCAGCCCAGTAGGGCATTAGCCTCCTTGGCAACAAGGGCACACTGCTGGCTCATTTTCAGCTTATTGTCCATTGTAACCCCCAGGTCCTTTTCTGCAGAGCTGCTGCCCAGCCAGTCAGCCCCCAGCCTGTACTGGTGCATGGGATTGTTCCATCCTAAGTGGAGGACTTTGCGCTTGTCCTTGTTGAACCTCATGAGATTTCTTTTTGCACAATCCTCCAATTTGTCTAGGTCACTCTGAATCCCAGCCCTACCCTCCAGTACACCTATTACTCCCTCCAGCTTGGTTTCATCTGCAAGTTTGTTGATGGTGCACTCCATCCCATCTTCCAGGTCGCTGATGAAGACATTCAACAAAACCAGCCCCAGGACCAACCCCATGGGCACCCCACTTGATACCAGCTGCCAACTAGGTATTGAGCCATTGATTATTACCCTTTAAGCCCAATGCTCCAGCAAATTTTCTGTCCACCATACAGTCCATTCATCCAGCCCGTATTGCCTTAGCTTGCCTGCAAGAATGTTGCAGGAGACCATATCAAAAGCTTTGCTAAAATCAAGGTACACCACATCCACTGGTCTCCCCACATCCACAGAGCCAGTCATCTCATCATAGAAGGCAATCAGGTTGGTCAGGCATGACTTTGCCCCTGATGAATCCATGCCAACTCTTCTTAAACACCTTCTTCTCCTCCAAGTACTTACAAATGGATTCCTTGAGGATCTGCTCCATGATTTTTCGAGTTACTGAGGTAAGGCTGACTGGTCTGTAGTTTCCTGGATCCTCCTTTTCCCCCTTCTTAAAGATAGACATTATATTTGCTCTTTTCCAATCATCCATGACCTCTCCTGATCACAAGTTTTCAAAGATGATGACCAGTGGCTCTGCAATTACATCAGCCAACTCCCTCAGCACCTGCAGGTGCATCCCAGCTGGCCCCATGGATTTGTATAAGTTCAGCTTTTCAAAATAGTCCCTGACTTTTCCTTTTGCCACTTGGTTGCTCACCTCATCCCCAATCTGTGCTGCCCAGTGTGGTAGTCTGGGAGCTGACCTTATTTGTGATGACTGAAGGGAAATAGGCACTCAGCACTTCAGCCTTTTCTGCATCATCTAGGTTGCCTTCAGTAAGGGACCCACACTATCCCTGATCCCCCCTTTCGCTACCAACATACTTGTAGAAACCCTTCTTGTTACCTTTCCCATCCTTTGCTAACTGTAACTCCAATTGCACTTTGGTTTTCTGACTTCAACCCTCCATGCCCGAACAGTGCTCTTATATTCTTTCCTAATTATTTGTCTAAGTTTCCACTTCTTATAGGCTTCCTTTTTGTAATTTAGTTTACTGAAGAGTTCCCTGCTAAGCCAAGCTGGACTTCTGTCATGCTTGCTAGTCTTTCTGAGCATCAGGATGATTTGTTCCTGAACTCTGATTAAGGCTTCTTTACAGTACAGCTAGCTCTCCTGCACTCCTCTCCCCATCAGACTGGTTTCCCAGAGCATCCTGCCCATGAGTTCCCTGAACGAGTCCAAGTCTGCTTTTCTGAAGTTCACTATCCATCCTTCCTTTCCTCAGGCTCCTGAACTCAATC